CAACTTTAAGACTTGTGGACTTCAACTCCCAGAGTTCCTCAGCCAGCTTTGCTGGCTGAGGAACTCTGGGAGTTGAAGTCCACAAGTCTTAAAGTTGCCAAGGTTGGACACCCCTGGCCTAAATGGTTTAGCCAAAAATACATATTGGTGTACAAACTGTTTCTAGTTTGCTGGTGGCTTGTTTCTTTTTTCTGTGTTCGGAGATAATTTGCTGAACTGTTTTCTGAACAATGACTTTGAAATCTGGATCAGCGATGTTCTGATTTTCTTTACATAACCCCTGATATCAGTTCGGGACATTGGCCATGGCATGGATTATACATTCTTAAATTTGTTTGCTGAGCTTCCCAATCTACAGTATTATAATTGCAAGCAAGTTGGTATAAATGCATGTCAGTCAACAGCATGTTATGTTTTTCAATACTGTGTGTTGTTAGCATTCTTTAAACTAAAGGACCAATTGGGTTTAAAAAAAAAACTTTTAAACATTGTAAGAAAGGCCAATCAATCAATCAATCAGAATAGAGCTGGACCTTGGAGGTCTTCCAGTCCAATCCCCTGTTCAAGCAGGAGTCCCTATACAATTTGAGATAAATGGCTGTCCAATCTCTTCTTAAAAACCTCCAATGATGAAGAACCCACAACTTCTGAAGGCAAGCCATTCCACTGGTTGATTGTTCTCACTGTTATGAAGTTTCTCCTTAATTCCAGGTTGCTTCTTTCCTTGATTAGTTTCCATCCATTGTTTCTTGTCTTGCCTTCTGGTGCTTTGGAAAATAAGTAGTTTGAAAGAAAACACTGATTTAGTATTTTATTGTTGGGCTGGTTGTTGTTGTTGTTTTTGCTAGATCTTAGTTCTTATAAAGATATTTTCTGAATGTTTTTCATCTTGCAGATACATACTTTCCTTTTAATACTAAGCATTAACACTGTACTTCTGTGTCACTGTCTGTTGGATGCTAATTCTACCTTGATTTTTCAGTTGAAATAAATTAATGTTTTAATGCAACTATAATATTGTATATTCTAATTAGTAAACTTTTTCAAATAAACACTGAAGATTTGAAAGTCATTGTCCTTGTTATCTTCAATAGCCTACTTAAATGCTAAATCCTGTAGAGTCTGCTGATGCCTTGTTTTTTTAAAAAAGAAGCAAAATAATCGCTGAGAACTTGTTTTGCTGGTGCCGTGTTGCCTATTAACTCTGGCTTTTCTCTCTTTTTCTCCACTCCTCACCTCTCATTTCATTGTATTGCCCTGCATTCCACCCTTTTGTTTCTATTCACGTATAACGCCACCTTTCTTTTTTATTGCAATACCCCACATTTTACCCATCAATTCTTTAGACACTTCTGAAGTTGATTTATTTGTTGTTAATGCTCCATACACTCCAGTGCCAGACCCCTCCCCCATGATGCCACCTGTGGGAGTTCAGGCTTCCATCCTGACCCATGACACCATTCGTATCACCTGGGCAGACAACTCTCTGCCGAAGAACCAGAAGGTTTCAGATGCCCGTTACTACACAGTCCGATGGAAAACCAACATTCCTGCAAACACAAAGTACAAGGTGAGAAAAATGGTAGATTTACAGGAATTTTGTCCAAACTTTCTGCAACTGAAAAAGAGATTCAATGTGTGTTTCCATGAGTGAGCAAGAGAAAGAGAGGAACAGGAATGAAATATTTACATTTTTATTTTCTGATTTTCATAGACAGCAAATACAACTACCTTAAGCTTCTTGGTCACTGGTTTAAAACCAAACACATTGTATGAGTTCTCTGTCATGGTGACAAAAGGCCGAAGATCAAGCACCTGGAGCATGACAGCACATGGCACTACTTTTGAGCAAGGTACCTTTTTTACAGGATTATGTTGTTACTTCCTTTGCTTTAACTTTTATAGAAAACACACGGAAGTATAAAGATCAGTGTCAGTTTAATTTAAATTTTCTTGCAGTTCCAACTTCTCCACCAAAAGATGTAACAGTGGTCAGCAAAGAAGGAAAGCCCAGAACTATAATTGTCAACTGGCAACCTCCATCTGAAGCCAATGGCAAAATTACAGGTGAAACATCTTTTGGATAAAATACAGGGATGACATGGTTACAACCAAATGAGAAGAAAGATATTAATTACATTAGATGCAGCTTTTTATCTATTGTAGTTATGTAATATTTTTTGTGCCAAAAGGGATGATTCAGTGGATGCAAAACAAATGCAACTTGCATGTACAGATGCCTTGGATTTGATTTCAGAAAGATACTTCAGAAGATGTAAGAGGACTTACATATGTAGTGCTTGTCTCCCAACTTCTTAAGTAGCTTCCCACCACTCCAGGCAGAGTTGCACAACAACTGTGGAGAGCAGCTGCTCAGTGTAGGAGAAGAAAAATCTACTTGACAGGGTTGCAAAGAGATGCTATATTTGTGCCCTTGGTGCTCTGAACCGCTTGGGGAATTGAATTGGAAGTACTATACAGCCTTACTACATATGTTTACAAACTCTTACACACTCAAAATTTGCCGGCTTGAAGCAACATCTGGAAGAAGGTGTACATTTCGTTGAGGCCTGGGCTAAAAGAAAATCAATGGATGGGGAGGGATCGTCTCACCCTCATTACACACACACACACACTTTCCCAATGGCAATAATTCAAAAGACTACATCTTTTAACAGAAGAGATTGCAAGAAAACTTGAGATGTGTGAATTTTTCAGAGCTCGGAAATGTGCCTTCATAATTCGCAAACCCTCCTGTTTTTGTTGTGCAGGATACATAATATACTATAACACCGATGTCAATGCTGAAATACATGACTGGGTCATTGAACCTGTAGTAGGCAATAGACTGACCCACCAGATTCAAGAGCTGACCCTTGACACAGCGTATTATTTCAAGATCCAAGCCCGGAACTCCAAAGGCATGGGGCCCATGTCAGAGGCTGTACAGTTCAGGACACCTAAAGGTAAGTTGGAAAGGAAGGTTTTATTTTTCTGATTTAATATATGAGATAATCAATTGATGAGGAAAAGGGTTTCACTTGGTGCTGGGAGCTGTAAAACATTTTTTTTAAAGTAATTTTCTATCTGGGATTTTGGCTTTACTTTACCATGGTTAAAACATTTGACCACTATTTGTTAAAACATTTGCAATAAAGGAAAAGTGGATAGTATTTTTTCTGGTCATTTCTGTATGGTGAAAACCAGTCAGCAATAAACATAAAGGGTATTTTTGTTATAAGCAATATTTTGCATGTGTTTTTTTTAAGCAGATTGTTTATCAGGCACTGTCCTCATTAGAAGAACTGCTAATTATCTGAACTTGTGCGACGCAGTGGCCTCGAATGTTTTTGTTAGGAAATAAGTTTCTCTGATGTACCTAATGTACTGGCTGATCTGAAGATCAGCTAATGCTTTCTGAAAAGCTTTAGCACAGGGGTGGGCAACCTTGTCTCTTTGAGGGATGGGTTCTCCCAGGATTCGTCTTTTGGGAGCTGGATTGGAGGCTGAGGTGTCCAGCGAGAGAAGTCCCATTTTTCTTTCTTCCTCACGCTTCTTTTCCTTCCTTGTTGTTGAGGAAAGCATGTGAATTGGCTCGTACGCTGCTTCTGAGGCAAAAGTTTGAGAAGATCTTTGGTCCTCGGAAAGGGTTTTGTCATTAGGCAAAAGTTGTTCACCTACTTTGCCGGTCCAGATAATCCTTAAGTTACAACCATTATAGTGCTGGTTATACATTGTGTCAACCATGTGACCCACCTGATTTTACAACCTTTTTAAAAGCAGTCATTAACAAAAGCAGGTTTTCAGCAGAACCATCGGAAAATGTGGTCACGTAGCTGTCAGAACTTTGAATTTGGGTAGTCCAGGGAGGCCCATCAGAATTTTGAACAGTCACTAAGTGATCAGGTCAGTAGTCGAGGACGCTGTAGTTGGGTCCATTTGAGTTTCATAGTGTCCAGTATGAGTTTCCTTTCCCATTTTCAGACATTATTCTTTCCATGTCAGTGAATTTTGGTCTCTTGTGTGCTTTTTCCCCTCTGCTTCCCTTGGTAGCGGAATCATCAGATAAAATGTCTAATGATCAAGGTAAACCAATAGATGTGCTTTATGTGTCGTGCTGTCTTTTATGAATAGTACTGTTCTTCTTGCGCTATTAAATGACAGGAGTCTTGTGAAATTTTAAAATATAAAAACTCGGAGCTTCTTTTGGTGAACAGCATATTTGCAATGTATGCAATTTTTTTCCCATCTAGAAGCAAAATTGTTGAAAATTAAAGCTGCACTTTTAAATTCTCTGTATGCCAGTACATTTTGCTCTTTTTAAAAATGAAAATAGTCCATTTAATGAGTAGACTTTTGACTTTTTAATCTTTTACTTTTTTTTACTTTTATAGTATTCTTTTATTTGTTAGAAGGCCGACAATATGTTGCAAAAATGATTTACATATAAATAAATAAGGATTTGTTTGTATACAGTCGTCAGAAACCGAAATCAATATACAATAGCTTTAAATAAATGAAAGCAAGAAGAAGAAGAATAAAGCCCCTCCGTGGCAAAGAATGATTGCATTCATTCAGCCTTGCATTCTCTTTGAAGTGACTCTCTCACTGCATTTGCCTCTTATCAGCCCCCTCAATGGACAGGAACATCTATCAACTGGAATTTGTCAAGAACTGAATGTTACATGGTTGTAGAGATTCCTACATGTGATCTGGGCTTTGTTAGAAAGGATTAAGCAGGGGGGTGGATAATCATAATGTGCCCACTTCCCTTCCGGATTTAATACGTCTTGAAAATACCTGCCATATCAGTGATTGAGTACGAGCTCTTGTAAGATAAGCATTAGCCTCCAGCTGTTCAGAAATGGGGGACAGGGAATTAGAAAAACAAAACAAAATTCTTATATGGGTGGAAAATTACATTTTGTCTTGTTATCAGAAAAGATTTAGGCTACTACATTATGGTTTGCATATCCGTGATTACAGAGATATACTCTCGCTATTAATATAATCGGTTTGACATTTTTAAATATAGTCTACAGTCTCTCTCGGAGTCTCTGTGTACGTCTGTATGTGGGTGTACTTGGAGAATGCATCTATCTTGGAGGTCAGACAGAAACTCAGAGACCATCCTGTTATTTGATGAGATCACAAAAAGGAGTGCAATTAACTCTTTAAGGTGTATTTTAGAGGTGGGGTGTTTTTTAGGGTTTTAACAGTGAGGATTGAAGCTAAAGTATTATGAGAATCAAACTGTTCCGATTTCCTCCTTTAACTCCCCCCCTCCCCCCAGCAAAAGTCCAAAATTTTTGCACTAAAATTCTTCAGCATAATAGTCTTAAATTCTCTGGTACAATTTAGGATCAATGTTTTTCAAAGGAAGGGCTCTTTTTTTTATTTCAGATGAGGATGGTTGGCCTATTAGAACCCTCCTGTTCCCATTCCTATCTTTTACTTTTGAAAAAAAAAAAGCAGTAATGATTTTCCTCTAAAATATTTCGGGGCAATGTAATCTCAAGCTGATTAGGTGCTGGGAAGCCACAAATTGCCCATCTGTGATCTGTGTAAAACCAAAAGAAAAATGTATTACATTTTGAAAACTGAACAAGATGAGATAGTCAAAACCCTTAACATGGTTAAAATTTTATTTTCCAGCATTGGGATCTACAGGAAAAGGAAATCGACCATTGGATGTTGGAACAGATTATAAAACACCCCTCAGTGGTAAGTATCTTCTCATCTCTGTTGAGAGCCAAGAGCTTGAAATAATTCATGTTACAATTTCCCCAAAAGATAGTGTGTGTTTTTCAGGTCAATGTCAAAGGCTTATTAGAGAAAAACTCAGCTGAAATTCCCAACAAGGCAGGCTGCATAACATGATTTTTATTTAGCTTAAGCAATAATTTTAAATTCTTTCATTTCAATTCAAATTACAGCTCTAAAATCATTTCGGATGTTTTTTGTGTTCTTTCTTAGGAAGCAACAGCCCTCATGGCAGCCCCTCCCCACTAGAATACAATATGCTCCTGATCATAATTGTGTCTGTGGGAGTGATCACCATTGTGGTTGTGGTGATTGTTGCTGTATTTTGCACTCGAAGGACCACCTCTCACCAGAAGAAGTAAGATTTTGTTTTCCTTTGCCCTGGGTGGAAGGGTGTGCATGTCTTTCTGCTGGTTTCAGGGATATGGGTGTGATTTACAATGAAGGCAAAATAAAAGGCACAATAAAGTTGCTCATTTGTGCTTTTGTGGACTTAAATTTTAGGGTTTTCTCACATAAAGATTCTGTGCCAGTTTAACAGCTCTAGACTTTCTCCAATTCTATAATATGAACAGTGTTAGAGGGTGAACTAATGTATTCAGATAATATGTAATAATAGTTAATAATAGTTTGGGCGTGGCTTGGTGGGCGTGGCAGGAGAAGGATACTGTAAAATCTCCAGTCAGAGGTGGGATTTGCCAGTTCTCCAAACTACTCAAAATTTCCACGACTGGAACTGGTCAGAACCTGCTGAATACCACCTCTGGTTCGGATGCAGTATAGTCGAAACCATTTCAGAACCCTATTTTGTGTGGATGGGTATGTTTGGTTTTTTTTTAGCTGCTCTGCCTCTGTTTCTCCATGGTAGGAACATTTCTACCAGTCTCTCCCTTCCCTGATAACTTAGCTTCAGGTCTTACTAGAAAAATGCTAATTTGACTGTTTTGGAGTTTCCTTACCCAACACCTGGGCAAAACTAGTTGAAGTGGAATTGATCATTTTGACCTCTCTTCAGCATAAGAGACAATCATGCAAATCTATCAGGCTTCTAGTGTTTTATTTTTCTTTCTTTCTGTTTGTTCGCACAGAAGTAGATCAGATCAGGAAATGGATCATGCAGGAAGACTAAAACTATACTTTATTGAGATAGGCTATAGTGACAAAAATCTTGCGGTCTTAACAGCTTCTGGATGACTTCTTCAAGATTATCTCCGTGGCGTCTTCCTTCTCCTTCTGCATGAAGTATAGATGAAGTGGTTTTCGTTGCTACACAATATACAGCAGTTAGTGGCAGGATAGTTCTCAGTATATAAGGTCAGCAGAAGTGAAAGCAGTAGCTGTTTGCCTTCAAGCTGCTTCTCAGAGCTGGAGAGGTGGAATTGACTTTGGCATCCAATAAGATACGCAAGGACACTTCCCACTATTTTCGGATGAGCACTTGGAAAGAAAAAGTGAAGATCCTTCATGCACAATATAAGACATACTAAGGAAGAATGTTTGTGGGTCAGGGTTGAAATGAGGGCTCCTTGGTCCTCTCTGAGCTGGGTTGTTCGCACTGATGATGGTACTTAGTTTAGATAATAAAACGTCTGCAAGGAAACACCAAAGACCTTCACAAAACATACTAGCGGGCAGTGTTATACTTCACAGAGATACTTTTGTAGAAGATAACTCTTGCAGGAAAATTGGATAAGTGATTTGTTTTTTCCCTTTTAAAGAAAACGAGCTGCTTGTAAATCCGTGAATGGGTCTCATAAATACAAAGGCAATTCCAAAGACGTCAAGCCACCGGATCTTTGGATCCATCATGAGAGGCTGGAGCTGAAGCCTATTGACAAATCTCCAGATCCCAATCCAATCATGACTGACACCCCAATCCCTCGTAATTCCCAAGACATCACCCCTGTTGACAATTCTATGGACAGCAATATTCATCAGAGACGCAACTCCTACAGAGGTGAGAGGACGGTGAGCTTATCGTTCGTTTCACTGCCGAACCTGGTGGTTCTTTCCTAACATGGACAGAAAGACAAGCAGAACCTGACCTTTGTTCTCCTGAATCCAGGGCACGAGTCCGAGGACAGCATGTCCACCCTGGCAGGAAGAAGAGGGATGCGACCAAAGATGATGATGCCGTTTGATTCTCAACCTCCTCAGCGTAAGTCTAGCTTCAGGGGGGTGACCTCCCAAAGCCACCTTGATTAAGTCAAACATTTCTGGTTCCATCTCACCCATATAAGGTTACCTTGAAGTTCATGCAAAGCAATAACTACCAAATGCCCTTAATCTTAAGAGCACTAAATAAATAAACTCCTGGCTAAATAGCCTGTTTACCTTTTCCTTCAACGTTGACTTCAACCCCCAGGCCTTCCCTGCTTTTGTAGATTCATCTGCCCTGACTGTGGGCATGTCATGCAGATATTCTGAGAAGAATAGCCCCTATTATATCACAGGCTAGACTTATGCCAGGAAATGAATGGCCTTGGACTTTTCGCCTCGCCTTAGTATAGGGATGCAATCTCTGGATCTCCATAGCAATATGCTAATGACAAGCCTGGTGGATTTAAATAACAAATATTGCCAACTAAATGGAATTTGCAGAGCCATTGTATATGGATGGCAGGGCCAGGAGATGTCATGTGCAATTGAGGGTTCTATCAATTTAATCTATTTAAGTATAATGGACTAGATAAATGGCGGAACCATAGAAATCAGTGCCAGACTGCATTTGTAAATTAGCCAGATCCTGCTAATACCTATTACAAATCATGTACACAAGTACTAGAAGAAGCTGAGGGAAACAGTTTTTCTTTCAGCAGAGTTAGTTGAGATCCTCCGTTTATCATAACTGATGTAATTACGGTGATGCCATACTAATTTGTGCGTCATGAAATTGCACAGATTTTAGACGGTTTTATTTTTCTTTGAAAGAGCTGGGAAAGCACTAGAGAGAAACATATGTATTTCGGCTGTGAAGGTTACAAGATTGGAGGTGAAGAAAGGGACAAGTTTATGCTTGATGGTTCCCCAACTCAGGGTGGTGAAACAGTAAGAACAATATTTTGAGGAATTGAGGCAAGGAGAAGATGCCTATAACTAATTAATCATTGTGATCTAAAAGGTATTTCAGAAACGCTGACGGCGATAAAAATCCAAATGTCATACTTTCCATCATGAAGGTGAACCATTTTTATATGCAATAGTCAGACTAACATGAATTGGTAAGGGTAGAGATATTTTTACAGAGTTACTTTCTCCCCTGTAGAGTAAGAAAACTGTCTTTCCAAGTTGAAATGCTTGAAATGCTTCATAATTTTGCAAATCCTTGCTTTTTTCCTCAACCTTAACAAAGGGAGATTAATAACATTCCTTCCTTTTCAGAAATTATTTCTTCCTATCATAGTGTTCTGTTAATGCATTTGCGTTCTTTTTACTGGAAAACTAAGCTTTATTACGGCCAAAGGCTGGCATAGAATAATAGAACCAATAACATGAGAATGGTTGAATTACTGAGTTTGTTGTAATCTATACTCTTTATTTTATTCCAGTCTGCAATATATCAAAGCTACTCATTATAAAATACATTGCAGGTTTATCATTTATCATGGTCTCACAGCTATATTCCCTTCCATTGGCAGTATGGGAACAGTGAATAGCTTAACTAAAGCAAGCAGAAAGTAATGGATTTGCAGTCAGCTTAATTAAAACTTCGGATTTCTCAGTTGATTTCAACACAGGAATTGATCTACACAGATAGTGAAAATATGATCCTTTAAGGTTACTTAAGGATTGGAGATTTATAAATGAACTCAGCAGTAGCATGAGTGCAGAAATTGTGAACTGAAGGGAAATTGTAGTATTAATGATCAATGATTACAAGTAGTTAGTGTGTTTCTGTACACTTTAAATCAAGCTCATAAACCTACAATTTTATGTTAAATAATGCACACAATTACTTTTATATAATACCATAAACTTGGAGACACTTTGTTCAAAATTACCCATCCCTAATTATGATCCAACGCATAGCTGCCAATTCATCCTCAGAGACCATAATTCCTCTTTGTTCGCATATAGCGGAAACTTCAGTTTGATCATCTGTGCTTCAATCTCACATCTCACCTCAACCAGTAAGTTTCCTTTGAAGTAAATCCGATGTTTTTCAGCACCCAAACAGCCAGCATCTGCAATTCTTGCTTCCTAATGTTTGCATCCCTGGGAATTTCTTGACAGAATAGTATCTCTTCTTCTAGGAATCTGGAACCGGGCGTCCTAGTCTCTCTACCTGTTTGTTTCAATGCCTTTTTGTTGATGAAAGTAGGGGCGGGGGGGGGGGGGGGGGCTTCACTTTGGCCCGCATGCCGGTTGGTCTTTGTGTTAAGCTTTGTTTTTCTGTTTTATGTTCATTCGCAGCTGTGGTTAGTGCTCATCCCATCCATTCCCTTGATAACCCTCACCATCATTTCCACTCCGGCAACCTCGCTTCTCCAACCTGCAACTATCTCCATCATCAGGCAAACCTATGGCCAGTTGGCACATCTGTGTCCCATTCAGACAGGGCTAATTCCACAGGTGAGAAGAACGGTCCATTTTGGGAGCTCCACCCTTGGCAAAAGAACCCTGAGGGCCAGAACCTCCTATGAACTAATGGCAAATACCAAACGACATGTTTTGGGTGGCCGTCTCTAGCCCAAAGCTACCGAACTCAGAAGGTTGTATCTGCCGATCGAACTAATTGTGTGTTCCTTTTTTCCTATTGTAGTAGCACACATTGTAGATGGATTTGTTTTGTTTTGCTGCGCTGTTCTGTTGGAGTCAAACTAGCCCTCTAGACTCTCTAAGCTCTGAGAATAAGGTTGTCATTTCTGTGTTTTTTCAACAAATGGCTCATTTAAGCGCTTAGAATTTTATTTAATCTTGGATCTGATGGTAATTCAGTTTCTCTGTTGAGAATTTAGATTTGCATAATTTGCTCTCTTTATTATTAAAGCTGCAAATAATGACAATACTCCCTTATTTAATTGTAGAGCGCTAGTAGCATCTGATTTAATTGATTCAACATCAAGAGAACCCATTTTTGCACCAAATATAGAAAAACTAACAGCTTAGAGGTATCTAAACCTAGCATTAATAAAAACCACTTGAAAGCTAGGCAACTAAGAAATCTCCAGACAGTTCACTAAAGGATGAATCAGTTAGCAGATTCAGTGGTGATTTAGAAAGCTGAATATATTATTTGTTTTGTTTTGATTCAGTGATGGGATCACATGCTAAGCTTTTTTCAAAACAAACTTAACTCTTTATAGAGCCTAAATAAAAAGCATAAAACTTTTAGCAGCAGTGTAGAGTTATGGTATAAGTGCTTTGGGGTGACTTTCTCATTCTCTCAGTTTGTTGGCCTTCTTTGGAACTAAAGAGAGTTTGTGACCCAACTAACACCACTGAAGGTGCCTGGCATTTTCAAGGACTCTCTGAGGTAGCTAACCATTCATTTCCTTCCCCCATCTCCAGAATCTGTTCGAAACACACCTAGCACCGATACCATGCCAGCGTCTTTGTCTCAGACATGTTGTGCCGATCACCAAGAGCCAGAAAGTGCTTCAGCATCCTACCTGCCCAGTACCCAGGAAGAGGAGACAAGCCAGAACCTGCCCACTGCCCATGTCCGTCCCTCTCATCCTCTGAAGAGCTTTGCTGTGCCAGCCGTCCCGCCCACTGGCAGCACTTACGACCCTGCCTTGCCAAGCACACCTTTATTATCACAGCAAGGTGAGTGCGGGAGAGTGAAAGTTTAACATGATCTTCTAGATCAGAGTTTTCTTTTTTTTAAACTTCCCGAATTCTCCAGCCAGCATGTATGGAATTGAAATCCTCGCGTCTCAAAAGTTGCAAAATGTGCTGATCTAGAGGCAAATGTCGGAGCTTCTTTGAAGTTTTTGGCAGCTGCGACAAAATTACAATTACTCTAGAACAGGGGTGTCAAATGCGTGGCCCTTGGTGGTCATGCCCACCCCCGTTGTAGTGAAGGGGAAAAAAGTTGTGATGCCACATGCCATTATATACGTTTGTCAATTAAAAGATTGACTATGATTATAATTGTGTCAAGCTTCTAGCCATCCAGTTCATTCAGTGAAGACAGCATCAATTGGAACTCTAGGAAGGACTCGGCCTCCAATGCCAGTCGTGGTCCCAAGTGCCCCTGAAGTGCAGGAAACCACAAGGATGCTTGAAGACACAGAAAGTGTAAGTGTGCTTCTGGGCGATAGCCTGGTCATGCTATATCATATTTGACTTGGTGCCGATACATAGCTGTAAAAATAATAAAAATGAGACCCTTCTACTGCACACTGTAAGCAGAAAGAAAATAGACCAGAAACAGATAGTTCTTGACTTATAAAACACAAGCGGGACCAGAATTTCCGTTGCCAAGCAAGGAGGTTGTTAAGTGAATAACGTCCAATTTCACAACCTTTTTGGCACATTTATTAAGTAAATCACTTCAGCTGTTAAGTGAATCACACTGTCATTAAGCAAAGCCAGCTTCCCCCATTGACCTGCTTTTCAAAAGCCAGCCAGCCAGCCAGGAAGATCGCAAATGCTGTCCTAAGGTTTTTTTTCCAGTGCCATTGTAACTCTGAATGGTTGCTACACAAAAGATTGTAAGTCGAGGAGAACCTAAGTAAACCTAAATATTATAGCTGGTCAAGTTTTATGGATAGGGTTTCTCTGGTCTGAAGCACTTCCTGATCCATCTCTCCTGTCAATCAGCGGAGCGCACTCTGTCCTTTTTAACTGAAGTTGGGGACCACCTCTTAAAAGCTAGGAGCCTTGGTGCCAAGTGCAAGCCATCCTTTAGCCTCTAGGAAGGTACCCTTGGATCACAACACTGCAGCCCAAGCTTTTGAAAAGCCAATGACAATTAACTACAGGATATATTAAGCATTTATAAGGTGCACTATTGTTAAATTGCTCCCATCTTTGGTTCATCAATAATGATGCATTTCTGCTCTTCAGTAGCTGTTCCCTTTTGGCTGCGCAATGCCAAATTTCAAAGATCTGAAGTGGCATTGCTAAGCCTTCTAAAACGCCAGTTAAATGGGTTTGGCAGGACTGTTCCGAATGCACCAATGGTTTAATTTGGCCTTTGTATATAATAGCAAAATTTGGAGAGGCCATTAAATGTGAATCATTGCTCCATAACTATTATCGTGGGTGCAGGAAAGTTGCCTGCTTCTTTTCTCCAGTCCCATCACTTTTTGTTCTCAGTTCATCATTTTTAATCTCATTTATGTGGTGTCTTCTGGAGCTGTCCCTGCCACCTTCACCTTTCCCTACAAAACAAAAATTGGAATGGGCCCGTTTTGGCAGCAACAAATCACCTAGCAATCTGGCCTGACTGCCCAGTGCTACTTTAAAACCATTGGCAAGGTGGCACAGTGGTTAGAATGAAGTATTGAGGGCTAACTCTGCCCACAGCCAGGAGTTTGATCCCGATAAACTCAAAGTTCACTCCGTCTTCCATCCTTCCATGGTCGATGTAGGAGATGACCAGACTGAGCCCGAGGTAGGAGTCATCAGTGATCAGTCCCGAGTCCCTTCATGCCCCACCTTGAATTCTTTTATCTCTTATCTACCACCAATTTGCTTTGGCTGTTAGTAGTTCAGGTTCTTGTCCAGAGCTTTAGCTTGCAATAAACCTTCACAACCATTTGAACTGCCTGGATCTTCCGACTTCCCTGGCACTAGACAGTCAGTGAAAGGACCTAAATTATTGGGGACAATACGCTGACGCTGTAAACCGCTCAGACAGGGCTGTGAAGCACTGCGAGCAATATATAAGTCTTACGCGCTATTGCTGTTGGCTGCCCTCTTCCTTCCTCTGCCTCCCACAGGACAGCTCATCTTGTCCAATAAACCTGTTAAATCTCCTGCAGAATTACGAACCGGATGAACTCACCAAAGAGATGGCCCACCTGGAAGGACTCATGAAGGACCTTAACGCCATCACCACTGCGTGATCGCCTTCCCCAAGGAATGACTCCAAACCCCCAGGCCTTGGGACTTCGCCTTGGAGCACAAGGAAATGTATAAAGACTAGGGGACAGCACAGAAGGAGACCTGCCCCACCGGCTGCAGCACCCTCGGGGGGGGGGTGTCCCCCTTCTGGTTAACCAAGTGGCTCTTCGAGTTCATTGGCCTGGAACGGAACAACCTCTCTGAAGGTTGTTGGGGATTTCCGCTTCTCGCTGCGGTGCTGATGCTGACATGAACCAGGAGTGGGGCGACGTCTCAGGGGATGAAAACCAGCATCCAGGCAAAAGTTAGCGTTCATCGGAGGCAGCTTTTGTCTCGCTGCTGCGACCTTCCCTGCTTTTTCAGTGTTGGACGTTCACATTTATGTACAATTTTTATTTGTGTGTTTTTATTTTATTGTATCTTTTTTTTTTATTAAAAAGTGTAACCTGACAGAAAAAAAAGAAAAGAAAAGAAATTTGTGTTGTTTCCCCCCAAAGTCCAGACGGACATCCGATTGCTTGTTCTATTGTGTATGCGGGAATTCATTGCCAGTGTGGATTTGTTTGTTTGGATTTCTTTTCTCTCTCTCTTTTTTTTTAAAGCGTGTATAATCCTGTCACCTTCCAGCAGTTGTAATCCATGGCCTTGGGGTATGCTGCATTGATTTTTGTAAGCTCTTTTTATTTTTATATTATAATAATTCAAAAAGCCTGATCCTTTCTCATCACTGTGAGGTTAACTATCTGTTTGGATTGAAATGTAACACGGAGCAAACTGTTTTTTGTTTTTCTGCTTTTGAGCGTTTTCAGTGCAGGAGTAGAATAAGTAAGCCTTGGGCTGGGAGCCACGAGCTTCATTGTTTACAGGGGACAATGCAACGCAACACAACGTTATCCGTCAGACTCGTTTAAGCCATCCCCTGCAATAGGCCCAGTTGTGACTTATAATAAATTATTGTTACGAGTAATTTCCCCGATCGCAGTGACTTGGAAAAAGTAACACAGTATTCTGAAGGATGGCTGCGATGTAACTCTTATCTGCAGTTATTCACTTTTGTCATTACCTCTGTCCGTCCAAGGCCTTACCAAAAGAGAAAGTGAGCTGCACACCTGTGGCTCCGAAGATACCATATCAACCAGGCCCGGTTCATCAAAGGGAATTGTAAAAAATAAGAATGAAGACTTAAAAGTTGTCGTCTCCTTTGTAAATTCATCCTTTAGTCCACGGGTGTCCAACCTTGGCGACTTTAAGACTTGTGGACTTCAACTCCCAGAATTCCCCAGCCAGGGTGGCTGGGGAATTCTGGGAGTTGAAGTCCACAAGCCTTAAAAGTCCTCATGGTTGGACACACCTGCTTTAATCTGTTTCTTGCCAATTGTAAAGGGAATTGCATTCAACAAAACCCTCTCATAAATGTTGGGTCCTTTAAACTCAGATACCACAATGTATCTTAGCAACACAGCTCTTATTGTTTGAATGTTTGATTTCAAGAGTTGTGTCCTTCCGGATATTTGCGTTGAAGTGGGAGTTCCAGATACTTTAGCATACAAAGATCAGACACAAGCTATGGCTCACACTTGGCTTATACTTGATCATTGTATGCTTAAGTATTTGGAATAAGACTCTTATGTAGCTGTAGATCATCTTCAAGGTTTGATTGTGTTGTACTACAATCAAAACAAATTAACTTTGCAGGAGAGAGGGGGGGAAATGTAGGTGTGTATGTTTGTGACTCAGGTGCTGCCCGAGCCGGTAGAAGAAAGGAGTGGGTTGGGAGAGATAAATAAATTCCTAATAAACTGGTAAAATTGCATTTTCTCTTTGTGTTTGCTGCCCATAATCATACTGTTCTCTGCCATCTTCTATGATAAACATGCTAAAAAAGTAATATTTTTTTTTTTAAAAAAAACAGCATTGGGTATCTCATGCTAGCTTAAAAAGAGATTGAAAAATGGGAGGCTTTGGTTTTCTTTTTATTGCAACCAACATAATTGGTCCAAGTGATATTGGAGCCATGGTGGTGCAGTGATTAGAGTGCAGCATTGCAGCCTAATTCTGTCTACTGCGAGCAGTTCGATCCTGACCGGCTCCAGGTTGACTCAGCCTTCCGTCCTTCCAAGGTCGGTAAAATGAGAATCCAGATTGTTGGGGGGCAAGAGGCTGACACTGTAAACCACTTAGGACTGTAAAGCACTATGAAGCAGTATGCAAGTCTAAGTGCTATTGCTGTTGTTCCAAGTCCAGTGATAACAAGATTTTGATAGGATGGCATCAGTTAGAGATTTTGTAAGTTATTTTAACTTCCTATATGATCAAAGCTTAGGTTGCATGTTGCTAGCAATTCAAGTTGGCTTATGTTATCTCCAATTGTACAGAGAAGAATTTATTTTTAGGAGCAGGTAAGAAGAGAGCTACATCACCCTTCCTCCGTCTCTCTGTCCATCCCATTTATCATTTTTTTCCACGCTTTTTTCCTTCCTTCCCTTCCAGCTCAGCCTTTGTTTGCACCCATGAGCTGAAACTAATTCATTCTGATTAGCCCCTGTCTAGCATGAGCGTTAAGAACTGCCACGCTGAATCCAAACAAGCCATCTATTTTTTAAAAGAATGTTTTTGCAATTATATAATAAGAAGTGCCATGAAAACTCAAAGTAAACCACCTTAGTGCTCTGTCTTCCAACAGTAACCCTCAGAGGCAATTCATGCTGTTTACGGTTAGGGTGTAAATTTCTGTCCACTATGTCTTTTCAGTCTAGTGCGTTAATGTGATCCTCCTATTTGCTTGGAGGTGGAGCAATTAATACATTTTTTAAAAAAGGTGAGCAGTTTTTAGTTAAATCCAAGGAGTGGAAAGATTCACACCTTGACCTCCATCTAGATGTCTTCTGTATGCATTTTTGGAGGTTGGAGAGAGTTTCCGTATTAGAAGGGAAGTCTCCCCCCCACTTTCCCCAACCTCATAAACTCAGAAGCATCTTTTTAAAGACTCTCTTTTGCCTCATTAGAAGATGTTAAAAGAGGACGTTAAAAACACCCAAATGTGTACAGATGTTGAACTTTTCCGAATCGAACCGTAGGGCGTGACCTGAAGTTGTGTGTCCATCAGGGTGAGTGACAGTAATTGGCTCCGCCCTTTGGTGGAAAGGCAAGACAGGCAGGTAAAAGGTAAATGACATTATCTGGGTCATCTTGTGGCTAAAAGTGTTTTGTATGACCATTTGTCATTGTACAGATCCTTTTTCATAGCCGAGAGTATGAAGTCTTTTCTATCTTCGGAGTTCTCGCCGCATCCAGTGAATCTAGTTGGCACGCACACTATGCTTCCCCAGGTGTGTGCCTTTCTCTCTCTCTCACTAGACCCAAAGAGACATCATCTTGTATATTCAGTATTCCTCCCATCGGTGGGTTCTTGTTGTATTATACTATATTGCTACTTTCGTAGAACATCGAGACGGTTGTTGATACTGCCATGAGTCTGGGGAGGGGGTGGAATAAGGGTGGGGAATATTTTTTAATAATAAAGCAACTGTTCAGAGTTGGTTTTTTAAAGGGTGACTCAAAAAATGATAAGAAAACATTTATTCAAGCCAGTGTATAATATGTATTGCACTTTTTACATTTTAACACTGTTTTTTTAACATATCTTGTGATTTTAAATTTGCGACATTGTGTATCTTGTAGCCTCATGGCTGCTCTGTGCAGTTTCCTCCACTTGAATAAGAGGGTGGGATGTGGGGGGGCGGGAAGGCAAAGGGGGGGGGGGGCAGAAGAGACTCCTGTAAATCGCTTTACAGTTCTGATGTCGGAGAATTCCGAAGACTGCTGTAAACTTCTATCTTTCTGTACATTATTTTTCTGTAGTATTTGTTGTATACTCTCTACATTTTTAATACTGTCATGTTTATTATTTGGTATTGGATATCCAATACACTTTTTTTTAAAATCTGAACCCGGTTCCAATTTTGTCAAGAGTTTTTGTTGGTTGGTTTTAATAGTTTGCCTTCCCATTTTAGCAGCCCCACCTGCTATGAGGCGATCAGGATGTGTAAGCATCTTAGTTTAGAGCTGCTGCTATGAGTGACAGGATCCTAACTCTCTTTTAAGTGGATACGATATATGCGAATCATTATTAACAATTGCAAGGGTTTCATAAGGAATACAGATAGTTTTAAGTCTGTTTCAGAAATCACACACGCACCCTCGAAGATAAATGAATCCCTAGGTGTATAACTCAAGTGATTTTCTCGAAGTTGATAGAAAAAGGTTTTGAATTTTTGGTGCTCTGAGCTTGGTTGCTTGCAGATATTTCATGGCCCAAATAGGTAACATCATCTGTGCGATTAGTGTAGGATTTGTTCCCAGTTTATTACAGTAGCTTACCCTGCCTGTATTGGTAGGGTTATGGTTTTTTTTCTTGATAAGCTCCTTGATTAAGGTATTGTTTTCTCTTTAATAGCTTGTCTGGTGTTAATCCCTGCTTCTTTGAATCTGGGCTACTGGAGCGGATGTGTTATTCTTTCATTTTCTTCTTGTGTGTGGGGTTTTTTTTTTTTTTGTACTTTTGTGCACGATATATAAATGTTTATACCCAAACCCACACACTGATAATGCTATCTAGTTGGGTAATAAAATGTCTGCAAGCTAACGACCAAGCTCAGAGAGCATCAAAAGCTGCACAGTTTGAACCGTAAGTTACAGATAATTCTCTTCTATTGAGAACAAGCGTTGTTATAGGGAGATTTTTTTGCATTAAAAAATGGGGGAAAACTCAAGTGTTTTCTAATAAAATGTGTTCTCCTAATTTTCCAGGGGGTGGGGTGGGGAGGCTTAAGGGAATGAAAAGGACGTGGCCTTCAGTAATCTGTGAAATTGATGGTGCTTGAATACTTCTGGCCAAAGCTCTTCGAAAACTGGCCACCAACTCCGAAAAGGGCTGCTTCTCATTATCGTTTGTCTGAATTCTGAAACCAGAGTGATGAGTCAAGAAGGATCACAAGTTATTTCTGAATGTTAGTCAAGATTCTTTGGTTTTTAGGGCGAAAGGAATCCAATTTAAGTAGGGTTTCAACCATTATCTTGGTCAGTTAGGTTTGGGAATCGAAGGCTAACCAACACGGAAGATGCTGCCTTGGGGAAAATGGATCTGTGCTGACGGCAGTGGCTTTCCAAGGTTTTCCCCTCGCTCTTCAGAGAGCCTTCTGACTTCTGAGGATGCCACAAAAGGGGACCGGAGACATCCTGAACTCAAGGTAAGTATTCTCAGGCCAAGTTATCCCAATGTGGTATGGTGTCGTCTTGCATGAAGATGTATGTTGTAAAAACTAATCACCTTGCTAGAAATTAGGGACCTTTCAGTGCCATGGAAGACTTGGCTGGAACCAACATTGAGCCTTCTACAAGATGAAGCTCTCTTTTCACTTGAAACCCCTACAACAACAACAACAACAACAAAATGCCTTCACCTTCAGTCTATTTTGCCCAGGATCCCATCACCTTATTTGGCTGTGGCCCTACAGGTGGGCACTAAACCACCAGCTTAATGGAGAGGAGAGGAAAGGAAAAGAGAAAGGGAGAAGGAAATGAGGGAAAGGGAGAAGGAAAGGAAAAAGGGAAAGGGAGAAGTAGAAGGAAAGGAAGGAAAGAGAAAGGGAGAAGGAAATGAGGGAAAGGGAGAGGGAAAGGAAAAAAGGGAAAGGAGAAGGAAAGGAAAGTAGGGAGAAGGAAAGAAAGGAAAGGAAAAAGAAAGGGAGAAGGGGAAGGAAAGGAAAGAAGGGAAAGGGAGAAGGAAAGGGAAAAGAAAGGGAGAAGGGAAAGGAAAGGAAAGAAAGGAAAGAGGGAGAAGGAAAGGGAAAGAAAGGAAAGGAAAAAAGGGAGAAGGGAAAGGAAAGAAAGGAAAGAGAAAGGGAGAAGGGGAAGGAAAGGAAACAAAGGAAAGAGAAAGGGAGAAGGAAAGGAAAGAAAGGAAAGAGAAAGGGAGAAGGAAAGGAAAGGAAAGGGAGAGAGAAACAAGGAGAGGAGTCCAGGTCACCACAATCTGAAGTTTGCTGATTTGGACATGGCTCATCTCTCATCTAAGTCAGGCTGTTATTTAATTAGCCCTGGTCTCCCAGCTGTTAAGCCTTAGCTGAGGCTCCATCCTCTGCTGTGTTGTCACAGCAACTAGTATTTTAAGTGCTCCGCTTTTTCTTCTTCTTTTTTTCATTTTGGTGCAAAACCCATCTCCGCTGGCTATTCAAAATGCAGCGGTCAGAACGGAGGGGTTAGGGGGAAGAGGTGGAGAAGCACATATCTGGGCAGAGAGCCAGCATATAAAAAAAAAAACAAAAAACAGGGCACCCACTGGGATCTCCCCGTTTGTTACTAAATCCAGCACTGTCCTCTTTGGAAAGGCGTTTGTGCCCCCTCGTGGCTGCAATGATAATGTGTGCAGTTCAGGCGCCTAATCCGCAGGCGCCTGAATTGGCACTCAAAGCAGGAGAGAGAAATTACCAGTAGGCAGATTCCACCTTGGCGATCCAATAGGTTTTGGCTCGAGAAGCGACAGGTGGAAACTCATCAAGGAGAGAAGCAACCTAGAACTAAGGAGAGATTTCCTGACAGTGAGAACAATTAATCAGTGGAACCACTTGCCTCCAGAAATTGTGAATGCTCCAACACTGGAAGTTTTCAAGAAGAGATTGGACAACTATTTGTCTGAAATGGTATGAGATTTCCTGCTTAAGCAGGGGCTGGACTAGAAGACCTCAAGGTCCCTTAAAGCTCTTATCATATTGGTTCTCCTACCATATTAACACCTTGCCTTTTTTGTTTTATTCTTATCTTGCTTTCCTCTCTCGCTGGATTGTAAGTTCTTAAAAATAACTTCCCTTTTTTTTAAAAAAATTGGCCGTGCAAACATGGTTTTTTTCTTTCAACGTGCGCACGAATCCCTTGGACAATTTAATGCCCAGTGCCTGAATTGGTTGCAAAAATCTGGCCTGCTTATCACCTCTTACTGTTGCCATGGAGCTGCGGCAGCTCCTGGGCCGCGGCTCCACTTTGAAGTGGCATCCATCATGCCAGGAGACAGAAACAAAAGGTCACTTCGGGGAAATCCCTGCTTGCTTTGTGCCCAGGGGAAGCAGGTGCAGTGCTGCTCAATTGTGGAAACGGCATCCCTGGAAACTAAATTGGAGAATGACAGGGCGAGAGTAATTAGGGGGGGGAAAGAACCCCTTTCCCAATGAGGGCATCAGTGAGAAACATATTTGGAAAGGAGGAAGGGAGGAAAACTGGTCTAGGTGTTCCTACTAAGGCAGAGAATCCATCTGCAGTCTCCATCCAATGCAGAAGAGCATCGTAACTCAGTCAATCAAAAGCTGTTTAGGATGGATATGCTATTGAATGGAACGTGGGAAAGGGAATCTCTGGGAACTCAAGCTAAGAGTTGAGGTGTCTCTGTGTGGAACAAGCTGCCTGGGAAAGCCAAGGGAAATCACCAAAACCATAAAAAAGCGAATGTTAGAATATTTTGGATACGGGATGCGACACCCGGGAAAAGTACAGCCTCCTTCACTTCATCCTCCAAGGAAAGATTGAAGGCAAACGAACATCCAGGCAGAAGAAGAACATCATGGCTTCAAAATCTAAGGGACTGGTTTGGACAAAACTCCACAGCCCTTTTTCATGGCAGCTGTTGATCAAACTAGGATCGCCAACATGATTGCCAATGTCCGATGATGGGTATGGCACAAGAAGAAGAAGAAGTGTGGAATTGATGGATTCTCCTTTCTTGGAGATCCCCAGGAAGAGGTTCAACAAGCCCTTTTCATGGCTTTCTGGCACAGGGTGGAAAGTTGGTCCCTCCCAAGTGTATAACTGTGAAATTGTAATCCTGGAGATCAGCTATTTACAGGGATAGAAATATTACCAAGAAGTGTGCACAAATCCCTGGGAAAAGATTTGTGCATAAACAAGGGATGGAGACTTGGTCCTTCCCACTCCATAATGGTGTAGTTGTGTGAAATTGTGAAGCACCGACTACGTACAGGGACAGAAATATTACCAACAGGCATGCACAAATCCCATTGCTATTCCAGCTGCTCAGAAACAGTTTCAATACAGGAGAGATAGAATTATAGTTCATCAGGGTTAGGCTTAACGTTCTTCTCA